TAACAAAAGAACAATCCACAAAAAAACGTAAAATTAAAGAAAGCGCACTAATTTTACTAAATCAAAATAATTGTGTTGCTTCATGTTCATTTATTCATGTGTTTCGCGCACTTCTCATAACTCGCTTTGTGTTTCAGCGATTTGGAAAATTGCAAAATGGTTTTGCAGAGAACATTTGTTTAAAATGCGCCTTTTTTAATTATTGCAAAAATTGGGGTTTTTTAAAGAAAAACGTGGCCAAAATATGCCCATTCAATTTCCTTGAAACACGAAATTTCTTCTTTAAGTGGATCTTCAAATTACTCCAAAAAATCGAGATTTTCAGTAAAATAACCGCTTCAACCCATGGAAAATTAAAAAATCAATGAAGTTCCTTCAAAAGTGCCTTTTTGGATTCCCAAAATCGTCCCAAAAGCTCGCGAATTAAGAAAAATCTGCCATACAGAGGTGATGCTTCAGAGCGTTAGCGCATCTCGCATAACTCGTTTGATATTTCAGCTATTTGGAAAATTGAAAAATCGGTTTGTAGCGAAGAACATTCTTCAAAATGTGCTTTTTTCAATTGTTAAAATTGGTTCAAAAACACAGGTTTTTTTTAAAGAAAAACGTGTCCAAAATATGCCCATTAAATTTCCATGAAACACGAATTTTCGGTTTTTTAATTATTTTTAATTTATTTATTTAAAACTGGTGTTATTCTTTAATCAAACAAATCCGCGACCAAGAACAGGCAACTTCGTCTTGGTCTTGCTTTGCTCATCACTAGTGGAAATGCGGTTTTCGATCAGTTTTCGCTTATTGAAGTTGACAATTTTTCCAAAAGATATCAAAAGACACCGTGGCGTCTGGCACGATGTCACGACAACGCAGTTCGGAAAATTTCGCTCATTTGCCATGCATGAAACCTGTGTGTTGCTGATGGTTAATTTCTTCTCTGATTAGTTTTTGCTGGCATTAAAATCCAACTGTTGGTTCGCAACGTAGATTTCCATTAACTTTCAATCCATGAAAGAATCAATATTTGCCGATAAGCCATCTCAAGGTGACAAGCATATAAAATGCGATATCCGGATATCAAAAACGCGATTTGTGGCTCTGTCCACGCTTGGCGTAGGTCACGTATTTTAGCTGTTGCCTACATTAAACATGCTTTGTGGGGCGGGAGTTTATTAATTTTTAATCC